TGTTTACTGTTTAAATTAATCTTGCATATTTGCATAGAATGAAATTTGTATCAAATTAAATATAAAAAGTGAATTCATAAAAATTTCTATATAAACAGATGAAAAGATACATTTGTACGCTGCAGTCAAAAAGCTAATATTGTTTTTTAATTTTGTAAATGAACTTATTCTACTATCAGTATGATATTTTTTGCTAAAATGACTCGAATATGACTAAAATTGTTAATATTGCCTAAGCATGCAAAAGAAAGTTACAAAAATTTTTCTAAAAAAACTAACAAATTTATGAATTAGCTATGAATATATGCAGCTGATGATTTTGCATCAACAAATATAATTAATGGCCTAATAGGTATGAAACACGATGCAACTGTATGACTTAGTATAGAAAAATAAAAAGACAACATATGATGTTGTTTCAGGCAATTCTATTTGACTGATTGTAACAAAATTTCATTTTATTTTTAATTTAACAGACATTGTTTTTCTGGATTTTCAGCGAATGATCGAAATGCAGTCTTTATATGCTAGTGGATTAGTCATTCAAGTACATTCAACATATTTCTCTTGCTCTCAATCGATTTTTTATTTAAATAAGTTTGTAATGCAGTACAAAATCAAGATCTTACATATCTGAACAAATATATAACTTGTTTGCAAGTTTTACTCTATCTAAAATCTGTTGCTTCCGAAAAATGTACAAATCAATAATCACCAATACCCAAACATGAAAAGTGTAAAGTCATTCACATTAAAGATCTTGTTCGAACAATCAGTATTATATTTGTTTCAATAAATTAATAGAATATTTTCATCAAGATGATTTACTCGATTAACCAGTTCGACCAGTACAAGAAACTGAAACAACAACATCATGTGTAGTTAATATGCGCAGTATTGCACTTGATAAAATAACTGCTTGCAACCATTTCGATCCATGTGAACCAGCTGTTAATAGTATTGATGATGTGAGAAAAACGACTAGTTTAAACAGAATCAGCTGTTTCTTTTTTAGTTGGCTTATGCATTGTTTATGGAAAATGTTATGACTTGTAATGATTCAGTTTATCAAGCAATAACACTTGATTTTAAAGTAATATCACGAACGACAACAAACGAAGTAAAATGAAAATTAATAAAACACATAATAGATGAAACGACATGATCACTTGATGTGGCACAAATAAAAAGTAAATAAATTACGATACATTGTTTTTATTTGTTTGGTTTCATTCAGTTTGAAAATCAATAAAAACTTAGTTGGCTATAACCAACGTGTTTTTCGCAAGTTGAATATGATCTTTTGAATAGAAATGCAAGTTTAGATTGGTTTTCAAGTATTTATTACGACAGATAAATCCAGTTTTAATGGAATAACTCTCAAGCAATCGATTGATATTTTGCTAAAATCGCAAAAAGAAATAATTTTCAAGTTATTTATACAAAATCCAATTGAACTATCGAATCCAAGAGTAAGTTGATCGATTATATTTTAACTGGAATCAATTTTCTAAAAACAAAAGCTTCTGTGAACAGTGAACAATAATTTATTAGTACAGCTGAGACATACAACTGGATACATTGATATTCGAACAAATAAAAGAACATTTCTAGTAAATCGTATTACGATCTTGCATCATTTCATCCGATTGCACTGAAAGCTTTTGTTTTTTTCCCGCACAGTCAAGACGAAGATTGAGACATATCTTTCAGTATTTTCTAGCAATCTGCAGGTTTTTTTCTCTAATTTAAAAACTGTTGATCATTCTAAACATAGATAGCTGTGGTACAATGCTTGGACAGGCTTGAGTCCACCTTATATTGGATAGATTAAGATTTAGATAGGCTCTAACTAATGGGAAAAAATTCTATTATTGCTTAATTTTCATTTTCTTCTAGCAAATGACGAATTGTTATCAGGTCAGCTCACATTTGATCTATGTCCAACTCGTGTTCAACAAGCATAGGTAGTAGAACCACAAGAATTGGGAAAATGAAAATCCACCCTAGACTCATGCTGCGTAAACAACACATTTTTCCTGCCATCAAATTGATAAATGAGAGCAGCGCACTACACCTTTTTTTTTACAGACACAAATATTTATCACTGCTTTCAACAGCTAATAATAACATTTTCTCAGTTAAGCAGACTTAGAAAACATTTTTGAGGAAATATTAAGTTTTTTACCAGTAAAGAAGAAGTTTATATGAAAAATCTGATTCAGATTAAGTGGAATCTGTCAAAGTTTCCTATAATGTGGAAGCTCACAAGGCAACATCTTTTTTTGTGAAACATTTCTGCTTCGCGGTTTAACTTTTTTGTCAGGTAAAACAGATCAGTCTCTTCTTTCGAAGGTTGTATTTTCATGAACATAAATGTCTGCATGTTTTTTTAGGCAAATTATGAATTCTTTGTTCTGATCTCTATTACTGTTACATGTTGCAAATAGAAAAAACACCAGAGACATGCACCGCCTCTAAAACTCGATGAGCGGCGGCGGAAAGTATGAGTTAAACTTATAAATAGTGACGGCGGTGTGAACCGATCCGTAAGTCTTTTTTATGAGCGGAACGGCCGCACCATACTTCGTTCAAAGGGTCGTATGGTGCGGTCGCTCAGGGCTTACTGAAGTTGTTTATCATGACTTGTTTCGCGGATTTATTGCAACATGTTTTTAATGAATTATACGTACTCTATTGATTCCGTAAGGTCGTTTCAATGTAATTCAATAAATCTAGAAATGGATCGATGTGATAGGAAAAGTTATTAGAAAATAACGCAACTGTGGCATAGAAGATAATAGCTTTTACAGAATAATGATAATGATGGAGATTACTGTAAACCCCTTCTGTAATAGAAGTCCTCTCCCCCCCACCATACTTGAAGCTCCTGCTGTATCAAAAGCCCCTGGAGAGCGGTTGGTATGAAAGATGTATTAGAAGCCTAGGCTTGTATTACATCCAAGAGTTTTCGGAGTTTTTTCAAAGTCGGTCTTCGCCTCCGCACTGCTAGTTTACATTGGCAAGCGTTGTACACGTGAGAAAGTGCACTAGAAAACACCTCACAAAGTGCTTGCCGATGATTTCAACGATAGAGAAAACCTGGGTGTGGCTATGAATGTAGATCAAAAGAAGAGAAATATCGACACCGACCCACCAACATCGGAACTCACAACTACACCCACAACATTAAAATTTTTTTGGAAGTAGTCTAATTATATGTATTTGTACATGAATTTTTTTCATCTCATTCTTTTTTTACAATTTATTAGATGAAATAGTATGCTTTTTGGTATATGTACGACATAAAATAATGCTTTTTTGTATATTTATATTAAATTTCAGTGTTGTAAGATTATTTGAACTTATCACAAATAGGTTACCAAAATGATTGAAACAATGACTCCTTTATATACTTTTCGAAATTTCTTTATGAAAGTCATGTTAGTAGCCCACCCCATAATAGAAACATCCTTCAAAATCTCTGAACAGTGGATAGTTTAGAAGCTCACGGATGCTTCTATCATGGAAGGGGATTTAGCTAATTTTATCAGATAACTATAGGCATAACATGAATACCATAAAGAAAAAATGATAATGAAAAAACTGCTATATTTGAAAGAAAAAATTATCAAATAAATTTTTCCAGCCGATTTTCATATTTCTAATTAACTAAAAATAGTCATTTTTCTCCGAGAAAATCATACACTTGTAGCCATTTATATAAATATTAAAAAAAGAAAAAATAGACAATCTAATATAAAATATTAGAAAGGAAAAAAAGAAAGTTGAAATCAACAATCTATCTATGTAATATTTGTAACGCCAAGAGTAACAAAAAAATCTATAAATGGTGCCATCGAACGCTCAGTATAATATAAACATATTTTAAGAATCAAAATTTATTCAGTGTAGGATTTAAAAATGCTATTTGTATCAAATATGAGTACGAAGCCAGTGCTTCGTTGCTTATCATTATTATTTAAGAGAAAAAAGTCACCAATATTCCTGCATTATATTAATTGCAGTTTTGGTTTGTTGGTTTCAACTTCAAAAGATATTCCCTTACAAAACGGTCAAGTTAAGATCAGACGGCCGCTTGGGCGATAAATAAGACCAGGACGGTCGCTCCGCACCAGTCCCGCTCGCAAAATTCAGAAGCGGTGCACATCTCTGAAAAACACTAATTATATTTCATCTGATTGGCATTCAAAAACTCGTGTTCTCTCATTTTTACCTTCAGATAAGAATCTTATAAAACAATGTTAAGCTTACACAAGAATCAAAACATTCATAGCCTATGATCCTAGATGATAAAATATACTTCTGAAGAATACAAGCATTTCGGGTAAAATTTTTAATTTCGATGGATCAAAAAAGGTTCTAGTTTCTGCTAAGCAGAGTCCCATTACAGATTGTTTCGATTACGAAGTTTTAAAAATTTAATAAATCGTAAATAGTAGATTGATTTGACTGAAATCACGTCTCTAACTGAAAGAAATAAGCAAAAAAATCATTATTCAGTAATTCAAAAAAGTACAGTTTGATAGATGTCGCTTAATATCGATTTCTATTTCAAAACTTGAAAAAAAATCATCTTACTGATTGTATTTCAAATGAGACATTTTCTGATAAATAAAATTACTTATAATTTCATCGTCATGCCATTAACAAGGTTTCCTAACATTTATTAATGGAAGCTTTTAACCAATCAAATATTGCATCGATTGCTAGTACACCACAACAGAACAACAATAAACTAAAACAAATATAGACATTCACACATCGATGAATATTTCTTTTTCTACAATTCATTGAATTGATATCTCGTTTCTTTTGTTTTCAAATATTATTTCATAATATTTTTATTTTAGTTTATTCAATTAAAAAACCAGATTCTTTCTTTGAGAATGACTACAAATTCACGTGAAGAAGAGGCACAAAAGGTATAATATTATGTTTAAATAATATACTGATGCATCACAATTTCATTAAATTAGATGCTCGGTCAATTACAAATGAAAATGATTGATATACAAACATCATTAAAAAAATCTACAGGACAAATTGAAGGACTTAAACGTGAAATTCAACGTTCAAAATTAACTGATAAAGAAATCAATACACTGAAATCTGAAACACCAATGTTTAGTCCTGTTGGTCGAATGTATATTTCATTTAATTCTTTTTTTTTTCAATTAAATTCATGCTAATAAGAAATTATTTAGGTTTGTATTACATACTAAAGCAGAAATTCGTGAACAAATTGAAAAGAAAATAAAGACATGTGAAGATGATATAAAAAAACAAGAAGTATAAAAATTAGATTGAAAGAAATTTTTATTGTTTTCTTTTTCTTTAGGCAACAAAAACATTTTTAGAAAAACAAATGCGTGATTGTGAAACACAATTTAAAGAAAGATTTGCAGGAGCAGGAGGAAAAAAAACACGTTCATAGAATTTTGTTTGTTTGTTTGTTTGTTTTTATTTCATTTATTTAGCATGTTTGATTTTTCATTTTAACAACTTGCTGCTTTTATTTCTAGATGACCTCAAATGAATCGTCTGACAGTAAAAAATTAAGGTTAACTTCATACTTTCCTTGTTTTTTTTTTACTATAATTGAAAAAAGAATTTATATCTTTTTTAGTGAGGGAACTATCTTTGGTATTGGAAATCCATTACTTGATATTATTGCTGAAGTTCCAGTATCGTTTCTTGAAGTGTATGTATAACAATAGTAACTCAAATGTTCACTTGAAATATGAAAATTAGAAGAATCAGAACTATTTAATGTGAGACTTTCATTTGTTGAAAACTGCGAGTTGAATTTGAATATTTTGGGTTACTCTAAAATATGCAACCTGTCAAAACTTTAGTAGGTTAAAAATAGACATAGTTTCGTATCTTAATAAGAAGCTTGTGTTAAGTCGATTTTTGTTCTAAGTGAAAATTTCAGTTGCGCATGGAAAGAAAAATCTATATTTACAAACCTTCTTTCTTGCTAAATAAGTTTCAACTACTACAAACATCACTTTTCATTTTAGAAATATTCGTATCTTTTACCAACATCTAGATTTTTTTTGCAAGGATATACTCAGTAACCTCCCCTTCCCCACAGTAAAAGGCCATGGTCTTCTATTTCGGGCTCGTTTTTTTTTTCCTAACATTGTAGTAAAAAAGTGTTGGAAAGCCTGGATGTTTCCTAAGAGCAGCACTTTTTTTTACTAGAAAAAATATTAACTAAAAATCAAAAACCGAGTTTCTGAGGTATTAAAATCCTAAAAGAAAAAGAATCCGATGGATTTCAGAAAAAGGCTTTTAGAATTTTTATTTTCAATGGTTTTACATATAAATCCTTACAAATAATTTTGATCGTCTAAAATAGAAAATGCGTTAATTCACATTAGAAACGAAATTCATGCTTATGACTAATAATTCTTTTAGTGGATGATATTGAAAAACAAGGAGCAGCAATTTTTAATAAGTCTTAAATTCTATGGTAGGAAAATTATATTTAATCTCGATTGTCATAGACACTTGTATTTATAATGATGGTAAGTAAATAAAGAATACAATTTTTGCTGTAGATTGCACTGATTGACAAGACACAGCAGATATTGCTAGAACACGATTCTTTACCATAAAATTAGCTATATCATGTTTTACATTTCAATTACGCTGAGTAATTTATAATTATTATTAAGCAATAGTGTGATGTAACATTGATCAAAACATTTTAATATTGTAAATAAGAAATTTTCTTTTTTTTTTGAATTATTTAGATATAATTTAAAAGCTAATGATGCTATTTTAGCAAGTGAAGCACATAAAGGATTGTAAGTTATCTTTTTTTAGATTTATTTATTTATAATTTTTTTTTCAAAAAATTGGTTAGAAACGAAAGTTTACTTCGTGATTATCCACATCACCAATTTGTTGCCGGTGGAGCAACACAAAATTCAATACGAGCTGCAACCGTAATTGCTTGTTGTTTTATATCCATTTCTAAATAATAACTTATTTCTTCTAGTGGTTACTTCAACAACCTAATGTTTGTGTTTATATGGGTTGTGTTGGTCAAGATAAATATCATCAGTTATTACATGATGCAGCTAGCAAAGCAGGTCTTTTATTATCCTATCAAATATGTACGAATTCCGAAGAACGAATACAAACTGGTACTTGCGCTGTTCTTATTAATGGCAATAATCGGTAAGAAAGGATAAAAACTAAATTAAATAATTTTTTTTTATTTGTTTATGTTTTTTTAGATCATTAGTAGCAAATTTAGGTGCTGCTAATCATTTTACAATTGATCATTTAGATGATTCAAGAAATAAACAATTAATTGAACAAGCAAAAATATTTTATACAGCTGTAAATATTTCAATAAGAAAATAATAATTAAATAAATAATTGATTTTTTTATTTAGGGATTTTTTTATACTGTATGTCCAGCTGCTGTTATGCGTATATGTGAACATGCTGATGCAAATAATAAATTATTTTGTACTAATTTATCAGCACCATTTATTAGTGAATTTTTTGGTGATAGATTAATGAAAGCTATGCCATATGTTGATTATTTATTTGGTAATGAAACTGTAAGTTATAGATGTTTTTTTTTTAAATAAAAAAAATTCTTTTTTTATTTTAGGAAGCAGCAAGTTTTGCTAAACATCAATTAAAATTAGATGTAAAATATAATTTTATTTTAATTGAAAATTTTCTTTTTTATTTATTTTAGACTGAAGATGTGAAAATAATAGCTAAAGCATTAAGTGAACTTCCGAAAAAGAATTCTCAACGTAAACGTGTTGTTATTATTACACAAGGAGCTGAACCAACTGTACTTGCTATTGGTATAGAAAGTTTTTTTTTTTTAAATTTGATTAATCGAAAATAAATTCATAATGTTTAGCTGGAGAAGATATTAAAGAATTTCCAGTTAAAAAACCAATGGATATTGTGGATACAAATGGTGCAGGTGATTCATTTGTTGGAGGTATGAAATTCTTGTTTTTAAAGTTAAACTTGATTAAATTATTAAAACGTATAATGTTTGATAAATCGTAAAAAGATATAATATTGTTTATTGCTATAAACTGTTTAGATAGTAAAGCTAATTCCGATTTTAAGTTACTAGAATATTGAAATCAGAAGCTTTTTCATGAAAGATTTTTCTTTATTTTCTGATAACAGATACCCTCTCCGCTTTCTCAAGAATGTTTCAGTAAAAATTCTGAAATTTTCAGGATCGATAGATCTCGACTAGTAGAACGAAAATTGTCATAGACTCAGAATTTCTGGACACTTTATTTTATGAGATATATGACAAGTAAGAGTAAAAAATGATCTGAAGTATTACGAAAATGCAAAATATGACCAGAAATATTATTTGAAGAAAAAAGTATATACCCTGAGTTTGATCCTAGTTGTTATTCGAAAGGTTTTAGTTCAATCGATCGAAGCATCTGAGCGAATAAGAAGGGAAAGCATCAAGTTTTCTATTCAAAAATTGGTTTTCGGACTATGCAGTGGTCACAAAAACACAAAAATTTTGGGTCACAAGAAGGGATGCACTTTTCTTAAATTAGCACTCAAAAGCGTATTTAATTTACACTTCGGTTTTTTAGTCACATTTTTAAAAGTTAAAAAAGTAGTTATGAACATTTAGTTCATCATCCTCTAGTTTTTCAGCAGTATTATTTTTGTCATGATCCAAAAGATTCTTGGGATTTCTGTTCGTTGCTGTACGTCGATACTGTTGTATTGATAATTTAGAACAGCCGATTCTAATTCCGAGAAAACTTGATTTTACTCATTTCGATATAAACTTTACACTTACAGAAAACTAAAGAATTTACTTTGGACAAAATTCTATTATACTAGATTATAAAAATAAATTACCAAGGTCAAACCAATCTATCAGATTTGTTCACCTGTGTACTACGTTTTCTTTTTGTAAGCTCTCAAGATAAAAATTTGATTGCTTGAGTAGGAAATCTAATAATCAGAATGTAGAATGGGATATTTATGATGCTTGAAAATGAAATTTTATCATTGTGACTGTGCATCATCATGACTAGCAAAATATTATGACTTCATTATTTATTGTTCAGTTTTTATTCGTTGCACTAAGGGTACAACCAATCAGATTGAAATTTTTACCCCATATAGAGCATGCGTAATAGGGAAATACGCGCCCGAAGAAAAAAAAATTTTCAAGTGGGTTATCGGAAAAAAAATTTCAGCTTCATCGAACAATTATGCTAAGTAAAAGAAAAAATGTCAATATGATTACTGTATAAGAAAAAAATTTTAAAATGCAAAAAACTGTGTAAAGTTGAATAATATCTCTACTTGCACATGATATTTGACTCTATCATACCATATGTTCAGCTTGAAATCGAGTTTTTCGTCCAAAACAGGCAGGATACAATTAAGTTACGATTGACTATTTAACAGTTGTTTAGTTTTTATTATTCTCTAATTAATAGTTACATTATCAGAAAATATCCTTTTTCCTAATTATCTTTTTTCTATAAGTACATAGCGTATTCAATTTATAAATATTTCGTGTAATCATCTCATTTCGACTTACATGATTTCTTTGTGTGCTTATCAAAATATTCGTCTATTTCCTGTTACGTGTTATTATATTATTATCATAAAAAACGATATAGAAAAGAAATTCAGGTTGATAAGAAAGAATAACAAGCATAGACATGCTGGATAATTCAATAGCTTGTTCTAGGCGAGTGAAATCCATCTGGACTGGAACAAAAAAGGTTATACTTGATCGGGACAAGAAAAAATTTGGTCCAGCACATCTATAGCCTGGATCTTTGCTATTCATGATTCAAAGGTTGGATAAGATCTGTTGTTTCTAATGGTCGAAAAAACAAATATATATGTGTAAGACGAGTTGATGAAAGAAAATAGACAACAAAGTTTGTGTTATGAATCCTTTAAAGTTTGTTTTGACACTTGCTGTTAATCATAGAACAGAGAATAAAATTGATTGAATGAGACGTATGTTTCCTATTAGATTTCAGAATAACTTGTATCTACATGTGTACATACATGAAAACCCTAACCTATAGGGTAGGATAAGATCAAAGTAAAAGAAAAATGTAACAGAGTTTGCACATCAAACATATTCTATTCTATTCTGTAATGTCGAGTAGAGTTAGGATGAGAAAAATGTAGAGTATGAATATGAAAACAGCTTATCTTGCACATGTTTGCTAGTACTGAAAATTCATCGATTTATTGAACTGTATGATCATCCTCTAAGACATGTATTTCGAATTGTTCTGTTTGTTTTAGGTTTTCTTGCTTATTTGGCTCTTGGTAAAAGTGTTGAAGAAGCTATTCAAGCCGGTTCTTATTGTGCATACGAATGTATTCAACAATCGGGTTGCACATTTCCAGAGAAACCAAGTTTTGATC